CAGTTAAGTGTCCGCACTCCACTTTGGCAGCCCAGAGTTCTCAGGTTCAGATCCCAGGCCTGCACCCACGTACCCGCTTGTCAAGCCATGCTGTGGCGGCATCCCATGTAAAGTAGAGGAAGGTGGGCCAATCTTTCTCAGCAAAAAGAGGAGGATTGGCATTGGATGTTAGCCCAGGGCTAACATTTTTTTTCCTCACAAAAAAAAAAACACTTGGGTCATTATAGTGAGCAGTCATTTTTATATACATTTCAGGGTAATATCAGGGTATCAGAATTGACTATGGAAATCTGTGACCAGTGTGAGAGTGGGAAGTGGGGGAGGATAGTAGGTAAGAATGTCCCTAATGCTGTATGAGTTTTGTTAGCACACTAATCTAATCCCAGCTAAGACCACCCAACCTCCCTCAGTCCTCTCTCCCTTCCCTTTAATTGTTTCAGGTCATTTTTTGTTTGTTGGTTTTTTTGTTTTTAATTCAGGAATTAAAATTAAAATGGAGTTAATGTAAATTAATTAATTAAAATTTGATTAGTTGTATGATTAATTTAATGCAGGAATTAAAATGCACTGTGCCCTCTAGTCCACTGGTTTCAAAGTGCGGTTCCCACCAGCATCACTTGGGAACTTATTACAAATGCAAATTCTTGGGCCCCACCCCAGGCCTACTGAATTCATCCAAGGGATTCTGACGCACAATAAAGTTTTGGAACTGGTGCTGTAGTCCAGTGATTCTCAACCCTGGGGGCACATTGGCATCATCTAGAAAACTTGGAACATTACCACTGTCTGGGTCCCATCCCCAGGGATTCCAATTTGATTGGTTTAGAATGTGCTTTGCAGTGTGGGGATTTTTGAAAGTTCCTCACGTGATTGTAACGAGACGCCAGGACTGAGAACCGTTGCTCCCGTCCGCTACGTCGTCTGGCCCTTTATGGCCAAATAAAGCCACTCGAATCAACTACATTATAGGAGCGGTGGGGAACTAGTCTTCCTCCCAAACACAGATTTTGAGGGTGATTTAAGTGTTTCTCTGTCCCTCATCCACAGGGACAGGGGTCCCTTTCTGACCCCGGTGGGGAGGATTGAGTTGCTCCAACTCCATTAGCCTCCATTGGAGCTCAGCCCAGCTCTCATCTTCTCTCTTTCCTTGCATCTCCATGGCCTTTTCTAGTTCTCCTTCCCCACCTGGCCTGGAGTTTTGGTCAGTAATATCAATTGAGGCTTACTTAATGGGCTTAGTCCAAGAATTCTGTGGTGGAAAGAACATTGTGTATAAAAAGTATTTTTTGGAGGGATACTGTGGGAGAGGCAGAGGCAGATGTGAAAAAGAGTAGAGAGTACGATGTGGGAAAAGTTTCTGTGGGAGGTATTCTATTAAGGAATCCCAGATGGGAGAGGATGGGTTGAGGCCTGGAAAGCAGAAATTCCAGGAGGGCTGTTGGAGGGGAGGTGGGAGGCACAGTAATAATTGACATTATCCTATTATGCTAATTAGAATTTAGAATTATAATCTATTTCCATACTCCTGTTGCTTTCTGAGGCAGCCAGAGTTCCGTTCCCCAAATTGACTCCACCTCTACTACCAACACCAATTAAAACCTTCTGTATGCAGGCATACCTCATTTTATTGATCTTCACTTTATTGCACTTTGCAGATATTTGTTTTTTTACAAGACCTTCCACCAACAAAAATATTATGACTCACTGAAGGCTCAGATGATGGTTAGCATTTTTTGGCAATATTTTTTAATTAAGGTATATACATTGTTTTTTTAGACATAATGCTATTGCATACTTAATAGACTATAGTACAGTGTAAACATAACTTTTTTTTTTTTTGGTGAGGAAGATTGGCCCTGAGCTAACATCTGTTTCCAATCTTCATCTTTTTGCTTGAGGAAGATTGCCTCTGAGCTAATATCTGTGCCCATCTTCCTCTATTTTGTATGTGGGGCGCTGCCACAGCATGGTTTGATGAGTGGTGTATAGGTCCACACCCAGGATCTGAACCTGCAAACTCTGGGCTGCCCCATTGGAGTGTAAGAACTTAACCACTATGCCACCAGGCCAGCCCCATAAACATAACTTTTATATGCACTGGGAAACCCAAAGTTTCGTGTGACTCGCTTTATTGAGATATTTGCTTTATTGCGGTGGTCTGGAACTGAAAAGCTACAATTTTTGGGAGTGGGTGGGATTACCTGGGGAATGGGAAGAAGGAGGGAAGTAACCTACACAGATGAGTGAGGGGGAGGGGCACACCATGATGATTTCTTCTATCAATCCATAAGAAATACCAAACAATCATTTTATTATTAAAAGACTAGTCCAAATGCAATACCTCTTCCTAAATATGTTTAAAGTATTTTAAAAACTAAGATTAAAAAGATATTTCCAACATGATAAGGAGTATGTTAAAAAAAATAGCCAACCTCACACTTCACCCAAAATAATAGATGATGTCACTAATTGGCCACAAATAGCACATTCTAGAAGCAAGCCCCAGAGCTAAACAATCAGTGTGAATTATCTCACTTAATCCTCACAACAATCCTCAAGGTTAGGCTTTTTATTAATCCCTTTTTACTGATTAGGAAACTGAGGCATGGAGAAGTTAGATAATTTGTCTCAGATCATGTAACTAAAAGTAACATAAATCAGATTTGATCCTCTGGAAGCTGGTTCCGACAGAATCTCCAACAGAAAAAAAGCTAGTTAGTGCACCCAGAGCTAATCAAAACCCAGAGAGGAGTGAAGGGGAGAGTGTGGGAGGGGGCGACTGAGAGAATTTATTCGAATTGCCCTGTTTAGTCTTTGCAGGGTTTAAGACAGGAATGACCTAACTGATCTGATTGATAGTTTAAAAGAATGGTTCTTGTGGCTGGTTGGAAAGTAAACTGTGGGAAGGCAAGGGAGGAGCAAGGAAGAGCTAGGAGGCTTCACACTAGTCCCGATGGGATATGGAGAGGTTTGGATCAGGTTTGTAGCAATACAGATGCTAAGGAGTGGGATGTGTGAGATATTTTGCTAAGGATAAACATTGACTGACCACAGGATGAGCAGGTGTCCCAGCCTGGGCCCATCAAGGTTTCTCCTGGGCCACAGCGATTCAGTCAGACAGGAGAAAGAAACCAGGCCAATTATCGGCCACAGGCATTTTCCTCGAATGTTTGAGGAGGAAAAAAAATCACTCAGGTCCTTCAGCTGGGATAAAGGGAAGCTTGGAACTTAAATCTCCATGAGGAAGAGACGGAAAGTCCTTTGAAGCAAGTAGTCCTTGATAGAATTGCAAAATATGCAAATATAACACAAGATGTTACAGGAGCTGCCCTCTCTTCATTGTTCAAAGACATGAGAGGGGCTCTGGAAGGGTCTGGAAGCCCAGGGCCCTTCTCAGGTTTTCAAACTGCAGTTCTCAACCTATTGGCAAGTTGTGAAATCAAATGTGTGTGAGATCAGCATTTTTTTCCTAAGGAAATATAATAAAAAATTATAGTGTATCACTCATCGTTAAGTATTGTTTTAGAAAAGTGTTTCAACATTACAAAGACCTGTTAAGGTGGGTCAGGGTGGACCCCACCCAGGCCCAATGTTAGAGAAGGGCAAGGAGGCCCCTGAAATAAAATCATAGGGATCAAAAGGGAATAAGAGGAAAAGTAGCCAAATTGGGCTGTCCCCCAGTGGAGTCTTTCCAACTGGATGGGAGATGACAATTCGGGGTCTCTTTGGAAAGAAAATCAAACTCAATGTCCCAATCCAGCCCTTTCTAAGGCAGATGTCACCGCTGAAGTGGCTGACTCAGTAAATTAGAAAAACTATAACCCTAAAGGACCTGAATAGTTTGAAAAGGAGCCATCGTGAGCAGATAAGACTGGGGTATGGGAAACTGCAGTGTGGGAAAATGTGGATGTGGTGGGGAGGGCATAGATTTCAGATTGGATGTGAGAGGGGATTTAAACAGAACACGAACAGGAAATCATCAAACGTTTACATATTTAATTGCAAGAAAATGTAAAATTCTAACACTAAAAAATAACAAATTCAAAAGAAATCTGGAAAACAATTTTTGGTGAATATATGTTAACAAGTTAACACGGTTAATCAGAATTCCTACAAATCAAAAATCAGCAGTGATGGCCTGAAGGACTTGCTGGAAGATGTACTTTCATCTCAGTTAGAACACACAGGGGTTCCACATGCATAACTGCACCTGGTGGGCAGAAGGACAGGGATCCAGTCTTCAAAACAGTAATTTCCCTCCTTAGGTAACTGACTCCAGAAGGTTCAGAATCGTAGAAACTTGACATTCTCTGATTGAGCCCATTGGCATCTTTGCCTATCACATATACTATACCACTTTGACAACCACACAACAGGCCAATTATTGAAATGCGCAAAGGCCAATTCCCATTAGAACAAACATGAATCACCATTAACAATATACATCTCAGTGAACGTTCTTTGTCTTTCAAGAACATAAAAATGAGAAGCTTAGTTCTTTCCCAGTGTCTTTGTCTCGCTCCCTGAAATTTCATGTCAAAATACCTCACACTGGCTGTTTCATTCTTCTTTTTCCCTAGACAGCCATTGTTACCAGGAATTATACTATAGAAAAGGCATAAAATAATGAAAAAGACATTGTTTTTATCCAAAAAATCTAATAATCTATTTAACTTACAATCTAAAATTCCCCATTTGTATTTACTACAAAATAAATGCACAGTATTGTCTCTGATCATCACAGCTATTTAGCTGAAAGAGATGATTATTCCCACTTCAAGACTAGGAAACTGAGGCTTAGAATGCTTAATAACACCCCCTAAAACCTCATAGATATTTAGCTACAAAGTCTACAACATATACCAAAAAAAATCAATGAAAATTGCTTAGCTACAAAGTCTACAAAATCTATAAAAAATCTCCAAAATCTTTCTACTATAGCACATTGTCTCTTCCTTGGTCATTCAGACCTTTCTCAGGTCAAAATTTTCATTCACCTCTCATAAAGCTTCTAGAAAGGGCTGAATTTCTCATGGGCAGATGCTCAGGGGGGCACCTCTGTCACCTTCTCCAGGCGACTCGGGACAGAAGAATGGACGCAATGGCTCCAAACAGGTGAGAGGACTGTGTACATAAATGAGGGCATCATTTCTGACATCAAAAAACTTGATTTCTTCCATCTCAACATCTAGAAAAATTCCTACACGGCTAAGGCCAGAGCTTGCAGGAATTCTGGTTTCTGGGATGGAGCTGGCATAGATTGCTCCTGCATTCATGCTGATGATCCAGAAGCCATGCTCAGAAGAGAAACCGCTTTTCCTCTTTCTGTCCACTGATTCTTTGCAGACCCCCAGAGCCCACTCCTTCCCCTCTCCCACCTCTACCTCCCAGTAATGGCGGCCAGAGGAGAAGCAAGGGGTGCCCAGGATACAGGGCAGGTAGGTGAATCTCTGGGGATCTATCATCAGGTTGTGGCAGATCTTTCCACACCAGACATGCTTTAGGTCATCAGAGACGACTAGGTGGGAGTTGGCTGTGACTGCATCCAGGGTCACATCCTTCCGGAACCTCAGGAACTCTTCACTCATGTGCAGACTCAGCTCCAGCAGGGAACTGTGCTGTTGGACGAGAAGCGTTAGTCCCCTAATTTGCCATTGCTCCAAAAGGCCTTTCTTATTTACTTGTCGACACATGGGGCAGATCAATTTCTGATTCTTCCTTTCTAGCCTCCAATTTTTTATGCAATCAAAGCAGAAAGTGTGCATGCAGGAGAGAGAAAAGGGCTTGTAGAAAAATTCTAGACAAATTGGACAGGTCACCGCCTCTTGCAGACTTCTGGCCATGGTCCCTGAAGGTTACTCCTTAGCAGTAAACTGTGCCGAGACAGGGGCGATCAGGAGCCTTCAGTACACAATCTGCTCTTCAATAATCAGGATGTATCTAAATTCAATACAAAAATTAAATAATATAATTATTATCTTTCTGTAGTTTATACATGAAAGTGACACTAAGTCACCAGAGAATCATAGTAAAGGCAATATCTATGAGAAAAACTATCCAAAACTATTCAAAATCTAGATGATCACAAGAGAGAGACATAGGACAGTTCCAGATGGGGCAGCTTACCTGCTCTGGAGACTTCCAGGTGAAGTCTTGTCTGCTCTGAGCACAGCTTCTCTCTGTGGGAGCTGAGTCCGACTGGGTCTTTAATAGGATCTAGGAGTTCAGTCTCCACCCCTAACCAGCATTCCTTTGTAGGTCACCTGGAGTTCAAGAAAAAGAATTTCTGCATCTAAATACACTCGTAAAAATAAAGCCAATCTTACTCTAGTCATCCCAGAAAAGCAACCCTCAGGAGCCCTCAGTATTTCAAAGAAAATTACCATATGTGACTAAAACAAGCGAAAACCACTGTAAAATGAATGAGATGCTCATCATAAAATCAAGTTTAAGGACAAAGTATCATTCAGATGAAATGCTTTAAAGCACTCTTAGAAAATGAAGCAAGGCTTGAGTGAGTGTGAATAAAAATATATTATAATCATTGTCACCAACTTCTCTAAAATAATCATGCCTGAACACAAGCCCAAAGGTGTTCCTGACAAGAAAGATGCCCTCCAGCTACCGCAACTGCTCCCAAAGCTTAAGAACCCTTGGGGCTCCTAGGGACACCTTCTGGGCCTTCCTACAAGGGTTTCATACTTGGGGTGAGCTATGTCTGACCGGCTGGGCCCCTGACCCAAAGACAGCCATTTAAGGCAGGTCAATGCCCATGAGATGGTGTGAACCAAGGACTCTTCTTGAAAAAGGGCCTACACTGAACAATAACTAGCAGAACTTCTTGCTAACAGTTCACAAACCACACATTCAGTTGTGGCCGGAGTAACAAAATCAGAGACAGAAAAAGGAGCCACATCCACATTACCACAGAGGGATAGAGTAGGAGGCCATGAGCACTGCGGACGCTAGCCCAGAAAAACTGGGTTACTACAACATTCTGGAATACATTCCCTCATTTGCATCCAACAAACGCTTCTTAGGAGCCTTCCACTCTCCTGGGCACAGCTAGACTCTGGGATACAAGCCTGTATAACGACAGACAGGATATCTGCCCACAAGGAACTTGGACTCTTTGGAAGCCTTCCAGTTCCTGAACCACACACAGTCTGATGGGGTCTGGCCGAGTGACAACAGAGATAACCTAATCTTCCTTAAACACCCCATCAGCCTTTCCAAAAAACCTGACTTCTTTTTAAGGCAAATTGAACATGGTGCTTGCAATCTGAAACAGCTTGCCTAACCAACCTTAGAATGTACCTAAGAAAACAATCTGGCAAAACAAAAAAGCGCTACCAAAAAATGCCATAAGTTGTTCTTTTCAGTGTTTTCTATAATCCCAATCAGAAACAATCTGATTATATAATAATGAAATGACTCAGTTAATGATAATACAGCTATTAAAATTGGTGAGTATATTTAAGTGGAAACCCAGAAAAGCCTTTTAAAAATGTTAGAAAATAAAAAGGAACAATTTTAAAACATACGTTCTAGTTGAAAACGCAAAAAATATGTGTACATATAAAAAACGATCTGAAATGAACATGTAAAAATTTAACTGGTGACGTTCGAGTGGAAGGTGGAAAACGTTCTCTGACACAGAATAAGACCGACCTTTTCTCTCGTGAAAGCCAAAGGTAAAGGCATTGGAAAGATAAGTTGAGCCCAAGAGAGAGAAGTGGGACAGTGGAACTATCCCAGACAGAAGCGATTGCTTACCTGGACCCGGAGACTTGCAGCTGAGTTCCTGAAGCTCGGAGCCTGCACCGTTACCTCTCCTGGCCTCGACTTCTCTCTGAAGTGAGTTTGCGCGCAGACACGCTGGCTTTTTATACAGCCTGGGGCACAGTCTCCACCCACAATCAAGGTCATCATCTGCGTCAGAAGATTGGCCCCACCCTAGTCAAGGCCCCGCCCACTCGCCCACTCCCCCGCCTCTCTCTGAGGGTAGTTGCTGAACAGGATGAAGCAGATAGCTAAGTCAGCCTGTCGCCCTGCCATAGTTATTAATAACACCGCCTTTTAATTTCAAGAGTGTCCTGGATTAAACAATAAATTACATACTCTCTGTGTGGGAAGTGGAAGGAGCAATGGAATCATAACGAAGGAGAGCTAGGACACAATCACCAAAAAATGGAGTTGGAGGGTCAATGAATTCCTGTTGCTGAGGGAAATCCCGGACCAGACCATTCTCCTGAGAAAAACACGCTCTGAATAACCTCGCATGTCTCAGGGTTCCTGTTCTTTCTGCAAGGCCAACCGCACAGCTTTCACTGTATTTTTACCTGGTTGCTATCTCCATTTCCATGAGCTAAATATCTTCAGCAGTGCTTCTCAAACTTTTTAAAATATTTTTGTGTGTGTGTGAGGAAGACTGGCCCTGAGCTAAAGTCTGTCAATCTCCTTTTTTGCTGAGGAAGATTGGCCCTGAGCTAACATCTGTGCCCATCTTCCTCTATTGTGTATATGGGACGCTGCCACAGCAAGGCTTGATGAGTGGTGCCTTGGTCCGTGCCTGGGATCCTAACCTGTGAACCCCGGGCCACAGAATCGGAGCTTGAGCACTTAACCGATGCGCCACTGGGCTGGCCCTGTCAAACACTTTAAAATCTTAATGTCAAGACCGTTTACACTCTTAAACACGACTGAGAACCCCCAAAAGCTTTCTGTTTATATGAATTCTATTTCTCCATATTTACATTAGAAAATAAAACAGAAAATTTTAGAAGAACTTATTTAAATCATTTAAAATAATGAAACCATTATATGTTAACATAAATAGCACAGTTTTATGAAAAATAACTTTGTTTTCCTAAACAATTAGTGAGAAGAGTGCCCCTGTTCTGCATGTTTGCAAATTTCTGTAATTCCTGTTTAATGGAAGACAGCTGGATTCTCACATCTGCCTCTGCTGGATATGTTGCCATATATTGTTTTGGTTGAAGTATGTGAAGAAAATTTGGCTTCCCACAGATATTTGGTTGGAAAGGGAAAGACCTTGCAGATGCCCTAAAATGATGACAGGGACCATCCATGACCCTCTGACCACTACTGGAGGACCACTGCTCTACAACAAATTTCATAACTCCAAGGGGCAGCCCCAAGTCTTAGTTTCTTGGCAACCAAAGACCCTACCAATGCACCCAACCCTCTTTTTGTATGGCTTCTGCAACCTCAAAACTAATTCATATGATGTGGCCAAATATAAACATTTTGCTTTCTGTGCCCAATCATGATGAGATTCTTTTCATTTTTTCTGTGTCATTTATTTAACTATGATGATGATGCCAAATCATGTTGTTCTCTACTACTTTCTCACATTTAATAGGCCCACAACAGATGTTTAACAATGACAAAAAGCATCATTTCTCATTTTTTCTTTTTTTTTTTTTTTGGTGAGAAAGTTTGGCCCTGAGCTAATATCTGCTGCCAATCTTCCCCTATTTGCTTGAGGAAGATTGGCCCTGAGCTAACATCTGTGCCAATCTTCCTCTAATTTGTATGTGGGTTCCCGCCACAGCATGGCTTGACAAGTGGTGTAGGTCCTTGCCTGGGATCCAGGGCACCAAAGTGTAGCATGCCAAACTTAACCACTATGCCACTGGGCTGGCCCCTGACTTTATATTTTTCAGCAAGCTCAATTGTGACTTGAACCTACGCTGACTCACTGCTGCTACTGAGCCTTTTCTGCCAGGAGAAAGATTTCTTCCCCAGAAATACTTTAATTCCCGGATTCTTCATTACTTCTATAACGCAGAATTCAGGGGAAAATGTCATTTTTTTATTTTCAAGTGCTGGAAATATTTGGAGCCACTTATCTGTAATATCTTAATACCCTCATAATCACAACATATCAAAAATGTTGTGAAGGTTTTTTTCTTTTTAGAATAATGTTTAATTATCATTAATGCTTCCACGAGTTAAGATTAAATCACAAAAATAAGCTTGTTTTCATAGCTTCCTGATTAAAAAAGAAATCGACTTTCACACATGCTAGTTGGATAAGACGCAGCCACTGGTGGGGAAGCGGGGCATAGTCAGCCCTGTCAGGAATCTAAGATCCCCACAAGGGCGTGATGTGTTTGCTCAAAACACAGCTTGTATTTTTCAAAAGGCAGCAGCGGTGGTGGGGCAGCTTTTCACAATTAGCTTCCATCCCCTGGTATGGAACATGCACTGGTTTGTAGCCTCCTCTGCTGTTCAATCCTCGTCCTCCTCTCCTCCCGCTGCCCAGCTGTACATTAAAGTGGACCCTTCTGTCTCTCTGAAAGAAGACGACAGAGGGCACATCTCTGAATTATTTACGCCACGAAAGCAGGCTAATGGAGCTCCCGCACTCTCTTCTCCAAAAGGAGCTGTGTTTTGCGGACCTGGCGAGCTCCACGAAGAGAATATTTTTGGCACTTTAGAATATATAAAATGTCCCACTTCTGCACTTATTTTAAAGGACAGACTCTCTACAAAAAAAGTCAGGGACCATTAGACTCCCTAGTCACATATGTGGTAATATGTAATCCCTACTCTGGTCCTATTAATGGACTTTTTATTTTTTGTTCTTCTGAATTGTCTTTTTTTGTCAAAATATTGAGAAAAAAATTGAATAATGTTTATGTGTTTTATTCACGAGATGTGTTCCTATATGTATAAGAACTGACAACAGAGTTCCTGATCTGTAGCAAATTATCTATGAAAATAACAAGTTCTAACCTGAGTCTCTATGTAAGTCTCAGTGACCTTAGGCCAGCCACCCTCAGATAAAGGAGTAATGCTTAATCATCTCAAGTAGTCCTACCCTTCTTTCACCTGGTAGTTCCCAGAC